CATGCCCCATCGTTGTCAGGCATGCATACAAGCACGTGGGGGCCATACAAACTACTGAGTACCATTATGAGTTGCTGCAATGAAATTTCAGCTAAATGGACTAGCCTGCTGCATCATTTTTTCACTTTGATTTTTGGGATGTCTTTGAATTCAGCCCTCTGTATGTTGATAATTTTCATTTCCATCAAACGATGTGGCATCCTTTACCCAGTCCATATCAGTATAGATATCCAGCATAATATTTTTCCCCATTGACATCTGATGTGTTTTCAAAGTGTTCCTTTAATTTTTTTGAGCAATGTATTTTATTCCTGTTTGAGGTTTAGGTGAAATGCTACTATTAATAAGGTCCACTCCTTTAGCTTTATTTGAGATGGCATTTTATGATTTGAAACATTTAAAATATTTTGTAAAAAAAAAATTCTAATCTTTCTTAGATTCCCATAATTCCACATTTCTCATGGTTAAAGCCTTGTGTAGCAGCTAAGGACACTGTCTACATTGGACTCAGAGATGTGGACCCAGAAGAATAGTAAGTCTGTCGATTCTACAAAATAATTTATCCATATCACTATTTCATGATTCGTTATGAAGTCCAAATCACACACTTACATCACAGTTATATCCTGAAGCACCTTGGAATCAAAACGTTCTCCATGACAGAGGTTGATCGGCTTGGAATAGCAAAAGTAATGGAGCAGACGTGTGATCACATGTTTTCAAAGTACGTGTATGACTTATTTTCTATTTTTCATGACCTAATCTTCATAAGAGTAAATATGTATTGAAGCATTGCTACTCTTTCTGGATCAGGGTGAAAAAACCCATCCACCTCAGTTTTGACATTGATGCACTGGACCCATCGGTCTCACCTGCAACAGGCACACCTGCAGCGGGAGGACTGACCTACAGAGAGGGCATTTACATCACTGAACACATCTGTCAGACAGGTGAGAACATGAGGATATGTCCATCTCTAAATGGTAAGAGATTTCTAAAACTTCCAGGCTAACAAACTGGCAGCTATTTGGCCTTTCTGAAATTATTAAAGGGGTCATATGATGCGATTTCAACCGTCACACGCTTGAGGTATTCGGCCAATCACAACGCACTGGATAGCTTGCCAATCACAGCACACCTCGCTTTTTCAGACCGATGAGCTTTGTAAAAATCAACACGTTTCAGAAAGGCAGGACATAGAGGAGAAACAATAATTTTTTGAACCTAACAAAAGTTTTTTTAACCTTAAACCGCATAAACATTTCATTACACCAAATACACAAAATAATGTTCTTTTTAGCAACATCATATGACCCCTTTAACCAAAAATCCAAGCCCACTTGTCTGACGAACAAATGATTTAGCTCCCCCTTGTGTCAGTTTCAAAACAACAACCCAGTTAATGAATAAATATAGAACATTTTCTGTTTAAATATTTTTAGTAGAAAATATCAAGTAAAATAAAAGTTGAACCAATGTTGTGTGCATCTCAGTAAAGTGAATTATAATAAATCTACATTATGCACTCTAGATCAGCTATTAAAAAGCCATATTAACATTTCTTTGCTTGGCTATTGCTAAATGAGCAAATTTCATTATCATAATCCTTCTCGGTCTTTCTTAGGCATGTTGACATGAATGTATGTTTTGACTTCCCTCCAGGTCTTCTCTCTGTTGTAGACATGGTGGAAGTGAACCCAAAGCAGGGCAAAACAGAGGATGAAATTAAATCAACAGTAAACGCTGCTGTGGATCTGTTACTGAGCTGCTTCGGACGGGTCCGCGAGGGGTCTCATGAGCCCGACTACCAAATTCCAAATCCATAAATCACAGGCTTTATTTTTGTTATTTTGTTTTCTTTTTTTGTTATATTTACTTACTGGCATCATTATTTAGGCCATCATGCCATTTAAATTGAATTTAAAAGGGTAATATCCATTTATTTTATTCCTGTATAAAAGTGAATTCCAAAGATATATGCAAATTATACCCAGTGTTGTGCAAGTTACTTCCAAACTGTAATACATTATAGATTACTTGTTACTGTTATTTAAAAGTAATTCCTTACCTTACAATATTACTGTCTCAGAATTGTAATGCGTTACATGACTCCTGTATTACTTTTGAGTTACTTTCACCAAAATAACTACAGAAGTAGAACTTAACATTCTAAAATGACAAAATGTACTGCAGAGCATTTTACATCCAGTAGAGGGATATGCTGTATCATAATGACTGTGGGCTATCCTCGAGCTCAGACCGAGGCCGAAATCATGCCGCGTTTCCACTGTCGGGCCAATAGCCTCGCGGCACTCCTGTAAAACCCGCCCTAAACACGCCTTCACTGGACTACGTCACACAATACAAAGTTCCACCAGCGAGAGGGAGATGAATGAAATAAATCGCTAAACAAATATACCAGAAGCTGTCATTTAGTCTTTATTTACAAACTTGGACACCACACGCGGTTATTGACTGACCACGAACAGAGAATAGAACTTATTTGCGGCATTTTTGATTCGTTAACGTCTCGCGGTCTTGCTGTTTTTTTTTTAACAATTAAATTTTGGGCTAAAAGTGTGTTGTAACCTATGGTTGTAACCAGGGCTTAAATTGGGCCGGGGCCGCCTAACCCTAGACTCCTGGGGCCGGTTGCACCAGCTGGACGTACACCCAGTTGTAAGACTAGGTTGGACGTAAATGGTGCTTTAAGTCGTGCGTATAATTTATACCCGTTCCACCATCTCGGCGTAGTGCTACGTCTGACACTAAATCGTACGCCTAGTCAGAGGTAGGTGTAAAGTGAAAAGTCATGATTTGCTCGGACATTATTCGTTTTTAGGATTCATGTCTGTTAGTTAATTATTACTGCAGACGTGACCTGTAATGTTTATGGTCTTTTCGGGCAGGATAAGCGATATCAATCGCGAAGCTCTGTACTATCCTACCACACTGTCGACATTGAATACAAAATATATTTCTGTCAAGCATGTAATAATTATGCAGTAAAATATTACATATGAACTGGGATTATGAAAAGAAACTGAACCATTTGACATCTTGCTTGGAAGGACAGTGTGCTTGAAAATATTTCACGTCTTTAATTCAATTCATTATTTGTAGCGTGCCTGCCATCCAATAATCGCAATAAGTTTTGTGCTTTGTTACTTTTAATCAGAAATAAATTATCAGCTTTCAAATTCTGTGAATTTTATCACAAAATACGAACCATAAACGTGTTTTTTCAGCCACAGAAAGGCAGCAAAACACAAAATGTCACAATTACCTCAGGAAAGACATTCATTGTACATAAATTTGATAGTCAGCTATAATAAAAAAAAAAATAACTCTAGAGAGAAGCTTTGTATTACATTTATTATATTTTACTTAACCTTGATGAAATCTGTCATGGGAGTGTGCAGGGAGACTTCAGATATAAAAACGCGGACTTGTTAGGAAATGTTTACTCAATGAAATCATAGCGCGGTGATTTCACTTATATTATGTCTTGAGCAATTCAGTTCTATATTAGTAGTTGTAGCCATTGCGGCATGAACGACGTCTCAGCTATATCTATAACTGAGGGAGAATGTGTCGGCGTGGACCCGCATGGTCTACGCCGGGCGTAGTTGCGCCTGATCGTAGTTTCAGTTGGTGCAACAGGTGTGAATATTTATCGTAAAGCAGGACGTTGCAAAGCCCAGCGTAGTGCTTACACACAGCGTTTTTACGTCTAGCTGGTGCAACCGGCCCCAGATGTGCTCCATCCTTTCTCGGTCCAAGAGAGGAACACCCAGGGAGTCATTGCCCTTGCTGCTCAGGAGCTCGGTAAGCAGTCGTTCAAGGTGAAGGATGGTGGTCTCCTCTCCACGGGTCCTCCTCCGGCAATGTAGAGCCAGCTCCTCCCTGGTCAGATGCTTGTTGGCAACTTTTTTTAAGTGTTTTTTTTTTTTATATATATTTTGAGAATTGTTAAAGAATTACAAGCCATTTTCTCGGTCCAGGAGAGGAACACCCAGGGAGTCATTGCCCTTGCTGCTCAGGAGCTCGGTAAGCAGTCGTTCAAGGTGAAGGATGGTAGTCTCCTCTCCACGGGTCCTCCTCCGGCAATGTAGAGCCAGCTCCTCCCTGGTCAGATGCTTGTTGGCATCGTCATCTGTCAGCGCAGGCCAACCCTGGGACATCAACAGCTCTCTCTTTGCTTTTCGAAGCATAGAGACATCAGCCGCATCACATTCAAAGATGCATGCTGATAGCCGTGACATGAAGATGGGGTACAGCTGATGGGCATCAGTTGTACACCCCAAGGCAATCCTGCGCATAAAATGCCAGATGTCCAAGCGTATCACGAGATCTGGCCAGCCTCTGAATCTGGTTGTCAGCTTGGTCTCGCCCACCTCGGTGCAGCACCCAGTCCACGTACAACACAGCAGGTGAATCCACACCAGCCTGCTGGTATCTTTTCACCAGACAGTCTACCATCATGTCCAGTCCTGCTCCTTCCTGGGCTGTCAGCACACTTATGAGCACCTGACCAAACTCATTGCCAACAGAGGTAAGCCAGAGTCCCGTTCCCCTCGCTGTCCCAGCCAGCTTCTTGGTGATCTGTAATAAGACATGATATGAAGCATGCTGTAAATATAATCAAACATCACACCATGTAAAATACAGTGCCATGCTGGTATATAAACAACAGCATTAATAAACAAATCCACAACTAACCTTTTTAGTAGAATCCATCTTCAAGACAGAGCCATAGGTGGATGTTATCCTTGCATGGATTTCATCCAGCCTTGTCAGGATGTCTTGGCTGTAAACGGTGAGCAGCCACTTGCAGCTTGGCACCACTGTAGGCTCTGGGGGCTCCTGGAATTTTACTGGCATCACCCCGGGTTGATTGAGGAAGTCAACGCATTGGGTGGTGTACCGGGCCAGACGATGGAGCCACTGCTCGCTGTGGTTTTCACGGAGCTGCTTGATCACCCGCGTGGGGCTGTTGCCTAAGCCACGCTCACGCAGGAGCCGGATGACCCGCATATCACAGGCGTACCTTAGGAAATGCAAAATCGACACATTCATATATTTTAGATATTTGATTTGTAAAGTATTTGCTTATATAGGTGATGATGGGCTAACAACTGGATGAGGACTGAAAAAGTGTACTTCCGCATGAGGATGACCTGAAACGCAGAGCGATTGCCCAGATCTAGCTGTTGCAGGACAGTCTGACTCCAGGACACATGAGAGGCTCTACACTTGGTACAGATGAGGGTTTCTGTGACCATGTTGTACATTCTGTCAATGTCTAGAACCTGCCGTGACCTTTTGTGCAGACCACCTCCTGTCAGCTGATGTTGTCCACAGGCAGGATTGGGACAGAGAACCTTAACCCTCCACAGCTTGTACGGCATCCACAGCAGAAAAGAATGACAAAAGAATCTTTCTGGAGCTGGAGCCTGATTGTAAATAAGTGCTGGCTGTGGTGGGTAATACCAGAGCTGGAGGTTATCACGAAGCTCTGGCTTTCCCTTGGATCCCATTTTGAAAAGCCTTTTGCCAATCCACTTGTGATCCTCTGGTGGCAAGGTCTCCGACCACAAACGAGGAAGCGGAACTACAGATGGACCTTGCAATAATGCCCCAGAATGAGCTGTCTGTGAAGGAAAAAAAAGACAAAACATTTAGTCAAGTAAGGTAATTTTATTTTTAAGCACTTTAAGCATTTTGTTATCCATGATTACCTTCACATGAAATTATCATTGCAATAATAGTTTTCACTTAAATACCTGTCACAGGGTGAAGAATCACACGACAAGGATGGCTCAATAAATGCCCCGGAGGGTGGATTTATTTACAAGAGGGTGTGATAAAGAGAAAGGTCCAGGTGGGTGCTCCGGTGCCGTGAGTGCTCTCGTCCTTCTTCCCAGTGCAGTGCTCCTGTGGGGCTGGTCGGTCACACGCTGCTGTCTGTGGGAGAAATGAGAGAGCGAGTTAATGCTCAGTCTCATGGAGAAGTGCCTCCCAGGTGGCAGGGCTTGCGTGGCTTATGTAGCCGCCGCCTGATGAGCTGCAGCTGTGACCGATCAGCCTGTGACGAGGACGGGCAGGTGTTCCTCGCTTGTTTCCAGGGTGACGCTGTTGCAGCTTCGGGACGCTCGTCACACTCCCTTCCCCCCCAAGCGTCGTCCTGGTCCTATCGATGATTTGAGACAGTAGGGGAGAGATAGGGGGTGGGTGGGGAGTGACCCCTGACAGACCTGCGAAAGCTGCCCAGATCCGAGAGAGGCCGTCAGCGTTGGCGTTCGTGGCTCCAGCCCGATGACGCACCACGAAGTGGAAGTCCTGGAGCACGAGGAACCATCGGGTCACCCTGGCATTGGTATCCTTGGCGCGGGCCATCCACTGAAGGGGTGCGTGGTCCGTGACCAGGGTGAACTTCCGGCCAAGGAGGTAGTAGCGCAGCTCCAGGACTGCCCACTTGACGG